TATATATATATATATATATATATATATATATATATACATTAATTATAGTTGGAAGATAAAAAACATCCGAAAATCGGTCATAAGATAGCTATAGAAAAAATATTTTTTATTGATAGTTTATGTACTTTTTACTATCATTCATTTATTTTTAAGATATTTTCTTTAACTTCAATTTATATTTTTAATCCAAATTATTTTGAGATGAAATGATCTTTATCTAAGTCTTATATGTCTTTACATCATTTCTTGATCAAAGATAGTTTTCAAAATCTCCGACCATGGGCGCATGATCGCTAAATCATTTCCTTACAAGAGAGATAATATTGAAGTGTAAAATTCAAAAATAAAAATCTTTTTCTTTTCATTTTCCTGTCCATTTTCAGAAGATTATAATAATAATTTGATGTTTTATTCTCACATATTACTCAATTCGAACATATATGATTAGATCACTCGATTACAGGTCAGATCAAGCCACACCAAAAAAATTTTTCCATGAAAAGTTTACATTCACAAATTAATTTTTCAGTCCTTTTGGAATGTATTATTGCACTGAATCTCATCTATTTTTGATCCAAGTCATCGTAATTTATACTTTGTTAGAATTTTCAAAAGTTAAATCCGTCTGTTGCTCGAAAACATGATTAACATCATCAGTAACATTACGTTTATTCACTACGGCTCCTTTGTGCTCCCTGGCCAAATGAACATTCATATACTGCGAAATATCTAGTTCCAAAATTTTGAAAACAAAAAACCCTCCGTAACCATAGTGACCAAAATGAATAAGTCCGATTCCGCCTAAAGAAGTGTAAGTCGATACTTTTTGGGCGCTGAAGAACGGTACTGTAGACTGTCCTGCGTCTTTTTTTACGTCAGAAGCACGGAATTTGATGAACGGATGTACCATTGGATTGTCTTGAAAATTTGTAGGTGCTTTTGTTGGATTATCCGGTAGAATTAGGACAAATTCTTTCCTAAAAAAAAGTAAATCGAAATTGGAAGTTATAAAATTAGAACTTTCAATCATCAATTATCGATCAATTGTAAATTTTAGATTAAACTGTGAATACCTATTAGGATGATGCGTCGTAATCCAGCGTGAGTTGTCCAAGGACCCCATTACTTGATTAACGAAATCAAAAGGCGTAACACGAATTTGTAATTGAACCCGGTTATCTATTGCTCCTGGAACGTAAGTCTCCTTCTCGAATCTAAATCTCACACCAGTCATTACGTAGCCACTCGGGACCATTAAGTTATCCAGGTTCATGATTTTCGGATGCGTGTAGTCGCTGTCTAAAGTCAATCGCGTTTTTGAGTTTTCGTTGTCTTCGTTCAATAAATAATATCCTTTTTTATCTTCGTCATAAGTAATATTCTCCAATGGTACCCAAGATATTTCGTTGAGGTTCAGATATTGTCTTGGTAGTATCAGGCCTTCGGCTATCTGTACGTGTATCATAAAATCTTTTTTCACGAATTTGATACCGACGACTACCCTATAATTAATAATAATAAAAAAAAAATTGATTACAAAATTCCTATCAGCATAAGTGAAAAAAAATATTGTGCTGGGAAATAATAATACTCAACATATTATTGGATATATCTGAGGTTTGTTCGCGAAAACTTAGAGCTGCTGTAACATGTTCGTTGTGTTGCGGTTCAGCTAGACAAGTGCACACACAATTATCACAGGTATTTACTGTCTCCAATTGAAATTTACTTTCTAAGGATACTATTTTCCCAGAACAGTTTCTGTTGTCGCCGAATATGTTGCCATTAGAATCCGCAAACCACTCATAGCGTCGTGATTTAGAACTCTACATTGTAATTAATAAATTACGGTTTATTACCACCGTGCATCATAATAAGGTCTCTTGTGAAGTTGATTATTGTTATTTAAAGTAATAATAATAATAATAATAATAAAAATAATTTTTTACCAGTTCGCAAAATTCGATATTTCCTAATTTAAAACAATCACTGTAATTTGTACATCCTAAGTTGAAATTAATATTATTTTTATCCATACTTCTTATATCACAATTATGATTGCATATGTTATCAACAGACAATTCCGATTCTTTTACAATAAACGTTTGAATCATTTTCTCGAGTTCAATATACTCTATATGATGATCTTAAACATAAAACACAGTTAGTGTACAGAAAAATTTATCATTATCTAACATTGTTGATATCTATAAATTTTGTATTACCACAGTAAATGATAAAATGTTGAGTATGCTTCAAAGTATGAGCAGTTGCTCTCATGTAGTGAGCTGCTTGATTTACGAATCGGTGTTTTATGTGTTTTAATTCTTCATTATCAATTACTGCATTTATCGAATGAACTTGATATTAATATCAACTTCAATTATCAATAAACTTATAAATGATTGATTGTAAAAATACATACCGCCAGTACAAACACTGTTTAGTGCCGATGTAAAAGCTGCTAAGATATACTTCTTTATGTGCATCACTATTATACGTCGATAGTAATTATAAAGACTCAAACGAAACGAAAAATCTGAATCACAATCGGTGAATTTTTTTCGGTGTAACTGGAATTATAGAAAAGTTTTGATTTTTTCATTACATAAGTTATACATTTTTCAAAATGCAGAGATTATTGTCTTCAGTTTCACTTTGTCATTTTTTTGATTAATTTATAAAAATAGTAAAATTAAATACCCACATTCAATTCAGAACTGACGATTTTCATTAATCCATCATAAATTTCATGAATTTTTGTCGAATGTTTGTGTTCAGTCAAATGCAGAATCCCAAACAGCGGAATATAAGCCGATGCAAGTGAGCAAACATCACGAGGTCTCGTAAAATAGTCGTTATTTCTCTTATCAGCGAAAACCTGAATGAAATGATTCACCATATGAAAATGGTGTTCAAGATCCTTAACGTGACCATGAAGATAGATCACTTTTGCGGAATTAACTTTGACTTGAAAATGTTCCAATTTGTCAACAAAGTTAATGAAATCCTTTCGCTTGCTGTATTGAGCAGTGTATGGCGTTTTCGGGAACCAGTTGCGTTCGTAGCTCCTCATCGATGTCATCAATGCGCGAATTCTCTCCGTGACAATATTTTCTTTCCCACTTCCCTCAGCCTTAAATATAGTTTTAATGTCACCATTAATCGCGTCTATCAACTGTTCCAGTGAATTGATGTCGTCAAAATCCCAGTTATGCCGGTTTATAATTATTGAGTTGACATCGCGTTGAATTAAAATTATTAAAATGATTATGAACGCGTTTATTGCTTTCATTTTGGCTTATTAAAATTTTTATGGTGAATTTACTGATACCAACTGCTTATAAATGACTTTTTGGACTAATGGTAGTACCGGCTCCGGAAACAATCGGCAGTTTTATATCATTAAATTTTATCGTTGTAATTAGAGAGATAATAGACGAAATAATTATGAGGGCACTTATACGGTAGAATAGATCCACACTTCTATTTTTTTAATCATGACAAATTTATTTTTATACTCGGTAATAAATTATCGCATTAAAATGTGATGTACTATCAAAAATTTGTGATAAGTGATTAATGATAATAATTAAATTCAGTAAAATTCCATAAAACGATCCGATAATTTTCTTGAAAGTTCCACGTTAAAAACATTCTATTTGATTGAATATTTTATCACTGATAATCGTTACAACCTATTTCTGTAAATTGCTCGCGGCAAAATTTTTGTCATCGGAATGGTGAATCTCAACGACAAATATCGCTTAAAGCGTTAATAATCATCACCAAAGCTTGTGTCGACGAATTTCTGACTGAGTATAAAAATTAGAAAAAAAAAACGATTGGGTTTAAATCGACAAAGCTTAAAGTGACGAACAAAGATGTTTTATTTTACTTTGGTAAATTTGTTCTATTTTTTTACTTCGAAGGTTGTTTCATACTTATTATCTTACGCTAAAAAAAATTAGTCAAATTTTGAGGAAATTTTTATTACTCTTGAAAACAATATATATTTACTATTGCGATAAACAAATCATTAAAAAGAAATCAAATAAAAAGTTTTTTAGGTATACACGAATTATCAGAGAGCTGGAAATAATCTTTTTTACATTTGCAATGAAAATCAATGCATTCAAAATTTTGTTCTGGGCATTGGTGGTCAGTCCAACACAGACCGCCTGAAATTGGATAACACGTTGAGTTATTAATCGCAACGTGATTGTAAGTACAGACGCATTTGTTATTTACACATTTAGCGTGCCAAAAATCGCCACAATCTATGGAGTCAATGCAGGAAGAAACCAAATTCGCTAAAAAATATTAATGCTGTTAATGTAATCGTAAGTCATATTCGTGTAGATAATTAAAAAAAGTACATTGTAAATAAAACGGTGTTAAAAATGGACTCAATTTAAAACCGCTCAGTATTGAATTAGATTTACACCGGTAAGGTAAAAGCCCCAGTTGCTGCTCAGTGCTCATGTACCAGTACATGCTCACTTCATGTATTTGCATATCTATATTTGTGAATATAGATATACAAATACATGGAGTGTGCATGTACTATTACATGGGTAGCTACTGGGGCTCTTACCTTATAAGCAATTTAATTCTGCGGTGTTAAAATATCAGTGTTAAATCGGTTTAAGAATTCAATATATGATACTCTGTAAAATACCGGGTGTGAAGTCTCAGTCAATTTTCGCTTTCATCAATGGATGTATCAAAGTGAAGAAATAAAATACTCTGTGTACAGAGTAAACATATTGGTCTTAAAAAAAAATTAGAAAAACGGTTCACCCTAAAGGCCATCCCTGCAACTTCCCGCTCATTTTGTATTCAAACGCTTCAAACTACACATTACGTTTTTGAGCTCTTCGAGCTCAAAAATATTATTTTTGTGTCAATTTGAGCTCTTCGAGCTCAAAATTCTAATAGCAGTTTAAATACACAATTTTTTGAATTTTCAAACGGCAATAACTTTTGAATGAATGAACCGATTTTCACGCGGTTGGCGGCAATCGACGCAGTTTTTGAAGCTCCATGAAAAATTTTCAAGTTTAAATCGATCGAGCCATGAATTTCGAAGTTATTACAAAAAAACACTTTTTTCGATTTTTTTCGACGATATCTCACGAACGCATCAACCGATTCTAACGTTTTTGGTGGCGATCGATGGGGGTTTTCAAGGTTAAGAGTTGATTAGTTTTTGAGACCGATCGGTTCAGCCAATTCGGAGATATTTAAAAAAAATAAAAAAAAAACAACTTTTTTTTTCACTTTTTTTTCATTTTTTTTGCATTTTCTCGAAATTTACCGGTCGGAATCGGTTCAAATTTTCAGGAAATCTAAGTTTAGTGAAGCCCTTTCGAATGACACCAACCGCGATGAAATCGGTCGAGTCGTTCAAAAGTTACAAGAGGTTTACACACACACACACACACACACACACACACACACACACACA